AAGCTGATTAGGATAGGCAGTATAGAAAGGGAGGATTGTATGTGAGATGAATTATATATTCTTGATATTGTTGATTTTACTATTGATTTATCTTCTTTTCATTTGAGTCCACAGTCTTCTAGTTTTTATTTGTGACATTCTCGTCTTGGTCACGTGTCTCACTTTTGTTTGAAATTTTTAGCCTCTACTGGTAATTTGAGTAATTTAGAGTGTCATGATATTTCCAGTTATAGTGGATGCAAGTTAGCTAAATTTTATGCATTACCTTTTAATCAAAGTTCCACTAGCTCACTTGCACCTTTTGATCTGGTTCATTCTAATGTTTGGGGACCGGATCTTGTTTCTACAAAAGGAGGGTCTAAATATTATATCTCTTTCATTGATAATTATATTAGGTTTTGCTAGGTTTATCTTATGAAGCATTATTTTGAATTCTTTTTTGTATTCATCATTTTTCGTGCTATGATACGTACTCAATATTCATCTTTTGTTAAATGTTTTCGATGTGATCAAGGAGGAGAATATTCTTTCAATTTTTTTCGTGATCTATTAAAATCAGATGGCACTGTTTTGCAATCTTCCTGTATCGACACACCTGAACAAAATGGTGAAGAAGAGCACAAACACCAATGTATTATGGAGACACACGCTCTCTTGCTGTCAGCAAATGTCCCAAGTTCTTTTTAGGGGGAAGCAATTCTTACTGCGGTCCATCTGATTAATTTCATGTCTAATGTTATCACCTCTGAAATTTCTCTATTTGAAAAACTGTGGTAAGTCACCTGATTATTTCTCTTTGCGTGTATTTGGATGCATGTGTTTTGTTTTGCTTCCTATTACTCTTCGTACTAAGCTTTCTGCTCGTTCAGCTTTATGTATTTCTCTTGGTTATGGTGGGAGTTAAAAGGGGTATTGTTGTTATGATCCTGTTTCACACATTCTGTCTCTCGTCATGTTGTTTTCATGGATCATAATCCCTTATTTTCTATTCTATCTAATTTATCACATTTGTATAAATCTGATCTCATTTACATTGATCCATTTCTAGCTGATGTTATCTCTTACACTTTTATTGGTGATATGATTGTTTATGATGTACCTTCCTTTTCTGAGTTACCCTTCACTCGTCCCCCTATTGTGCATACATATATTTGCATGAATCCAGTTATCTCCTCTATGGATGCGGTGTCTCCCCTCTCTCCTCCTGCCACCCAATCAGGTTCAGATATTGTGGATCATATCCCGTGCTATTCTCAACACTCTCGCAAATGTCCAGACATGTTTGGTTGGAGTAATACTTGTTATTCTCTTAACTTTTGTTCTTTCCTTTTTTTTATTCACTCCCTATCTAAACTCACCTCCTACAAGGGGCTTTATTTTATCCACTTTGGAAAAAAGTTATGGATGAGGAGTTGTCTACCTTTCATAAAACCAGAGCTTGGGAGCTAGTGCCTTTACCATCCGGTGAACGCACCATTGGTTATAGGTGGATTTATAAGATAAAAACCAAGTCTGATGGTTATGTAGAACGGTATAAAACTTGATTAGTAGTCAAGGGTTTTACTCAGGAGTATGACCTAGATTATAATGGGACTTTTGCCCCTGTTGTGAAGATGATCACTGTTCACACAATGATTGCAGTTGTTACCATTTGCCAGTGGAGTTTGTCTCAGATGGATATGAAAAATGCTTTTTTTCATAAAGATTTAAGTGAAAAGGCTTATGTGACTCCTCCTAGATTGTCTGTTAATCCTGGGCAAGTATGTAGACTTCACCGAGCTTTATATGCCCTTAAATAGGCGGCTAGGGCATGGTTTGTCAAATTTTCTTCAGTTGTCTGCGACTTAGGTTTTCGCGCCAGTGATCATGATTCTACTCTCTTTTTACGGTCTACTTTCTCAGATTCTATTATTCTTTTACTATATGTTGATGATATGATTATTACGGATGATGACACTGTTGATATATGCTTATTAAAAACTTAGTTATAAGACCATTTTGTGATGAAAGATTTGGGACAGTTTGGGTATTGAGATTGGTTCCTCGGTTAAAGGTTATCTTCTCTCTCAGTCTAATTATACTTCAGATGTTATTCAACAAACCCATTTATCAGATAATCAGACAGTTGAAACACCTTTAGAGTTCAATGTCCGTTACTCTTTGTCTAATCCTACACTCTATCGTGCTATTGTTGAGAGTTTAGTATATCTTACAGTCACTCGTCCAAATATCTCCTATGTTGTTCATTTTGTTAGTCAATTTATTGCCTTACCCATGATTCACTGGGTTGTTATTCTTGTATTTTTTGGTATTTTTGAGGTACTCTACATCGGAGTTTGTTATTCTCCTCCTCCTTTATGGAACTCAAGGACTGTAAGTCCACTACTGACTTCTACCTTTTCGTCGGTGATTTTATTATTTCTTAGAAAAGTAAGAAGCGTAGTTATCAAATCGTGTATCGGAAGGCGTATTGTTTTTTAAAAATAGTGTATCGTATCGTGCATCGTAAGATACGGCATAATTTTAAATAATTAATTGTAAAATATATATGCTTTTGAAAAAAATCATAGGCTCATAAAAACATAACATTTCATTAATATTCCACTTACTATTCAAGTCACCAATATAATTTACTAATATTAAAAAAATAATAAAGGGTATCAAATTAAATTAATAATATTTATATAAACTTAAAAATAAAAAGTTATAATGTAGGGGGTATTAAATATAATTCTTCATTCTTATAACCACAGTCGTGAGTCTACCCAGTACCCACGACTCACGAATGAACACAGAGAGAAGAGCAAAAGGCGATCGGCGATCGCGATGCCGATGCCGATGCCGGTGGAGAGAGAGAGCGAAAGAGAGGAAGAAGAAGACAAACAGTGGTACCTAGAGTTTCATCCGAAATTTACAGGTTAGTATTGCTATTTTTTTCAATTTTAAAAATTTGTTTGATTTGCTGATTTGTTGCCTGGTAATTCTTGTCTTCTTCATCTCTGTTGCCTTTTTTTTGGCATTTTCTCTATTCTCTGATTTGTGGGCTTCGGTGTCTTCATCTCTCTTGCTTTTGCTTCGGTGTCTTCATCTCTGGTGCGAATCAAGCTGTCAAAAAAAAAAAAATTAATCAGCAACTTCGCGTATCGGTGTGTATCGATGTATCGTATCGTAAAACCGTATCATGTATCGGACGATACAATGCAAAAACGATATATAACTACGATCCGTATCGGTTTAGACCTGTATCGTGACGTATCGTACGATACTAACAACTATGGTAAGAAGTAAACTGTTATTTCTCGTTCATCTACTGAAGCTGAATATCGTGCTATGACGTCTACTGCAGCGGAGATAGTGTTGTTACGATGGTTCCCTGCTGATTTTGACATCATGTTATCTACACCGACTCCCATGTATTGTAATAACACTAGCGTCATTCAGATTTCTTATAACTCTAGTCTTTCATGAGCACACAAAGCATATTGAGATTGATTGCCACTTTATGCATCATCATCTGCAGTTGGGCACTATCTCCCTCCCCTCTTTCTTCTACTATGCAATTAGCAAATTTCTTCACAATGTCACATACTATTACTCGTTTTTATTTTCTGCTTGGTAAACTCTTGATGTTTTTTGTTACTACATCATAAGTTTGAGGAAGGGTATTAGAGTAGTTAGTATATTTAGTGTTAGGGATAACTTAGTCTTTTGTTTTCTTTTATGTTGCCCTACTATATAAGGGCCTTTTGTATGTATTTTTCTATTAAACTGTAATGCAAACTAATGAGCCGTAATATCATTCTCTATTTTCTCACTTTTATCTCCTCTCCTAGTTTGATGATATTTAATAGTGGTTGTGCAGGGTCATTGGCAAAGGGAAGAGGGGAGGAGAGGAAAGAGAGAGTTGGCGTCTAATTTAGGGCATGAAGGAGCATTTGATTTAGGGCATGAGTGAGGGGCCAAATTGGGAGGGTTTCAAAAATTGAAGTTTTTTTATAATGATATGAAATGCCAATAGTTCGAGATAAGTTGGGATAACATCATCCATGGGATGAAGTTTTTATTTATTCTGAAATGATTATGGACGTTTATGTTTGAGATTTAAAAAGGGGGGAGAAGAGAAAGGATGTGTAAGACGTCCAGTTAAGTATATGTACATAGACAAACCAAGAATATGAAAGGATAAATTGATTGGAGATTGAATTAAAAAATTCAATTGCCAGGATCTAAATGTTGATCAGTGACAATCTGTGGAGGCATCACCTAACAGTTTTAAAAGAACATGAACATGCACGTCTTCTTGATTGTGATGTCAACTTGTCCTTGTGTGTATTTTTAAGGGTATAAAAGTCCTTCAAAAGGTTTTTAATTTAGTGATATTTAGAAGTACTATAGATATAGACATCTAGGTCATCACCCGGAATATTATTATGGACACCTAAAAGAAGCAAACTTCTTTATTAAAGTGAAGATTAATGAATTATTATGCCCCTTTTCCCCTGGAAGTAAAAGTGCCCGAGTAGAATTACAAATTCTAATTTTTTTTTTTTTTTGTTGTGCTACACGACAAGGAAACAAATGTGTTTTTTTTTTTTCGCTTTGCACTGGGACTGAAGAACAACTTTCTATTTGTATCCTAAAAGGGATGGAAAAAGAGAAATTCAAAATAAGAGCTATTAGCTTGTACAATGTTTAAAGTTTAAATGTCTAATGAGCTATGATTACTTGCAATTGCGTGGGACATAATTAGGGGACGTAATGCGAGGACCTAATGCATTATGATCTGTGGATTGGGAGTGGGTCCCAGTGTAAGATGAAGTCCACTATCGATCAAGTGATCCCAATGAATTAGGACCCCAAATAAAGTAAAAGTGGGATAATTCCTCGCAATTTACCTCTAGATACAAGCACAAATTCCCTTGCAGTAATGGTTTCATGGTGATGAGCATGTGGTTCAAGATGCTTATCCATTAGCTTTTTAATAGTTGTTGTATTCTGACATGACTGTTAGAGTTACGACTACTATTGTGGCTGTTTTATCTGCAATACTCGAACTACATTTACAAAAATTTCTACTCTGGTGAAGTTAATTGATGAAAATTCTGGATCACCTCTCTCAGATCACATAGTTAGCTCCTTGACAACGAATATTAATTGGTGCATGTGTGAATCATTGTGGTGGTTCCTTTAGAATAGATCCTATACACCTTTTGTTTGATTTAACCTGTTAATATACAGCGGAATTTAGTAGCTTTTCTTGGATGAACATGGCATTTTCAATGGATGTGCAGGTTGCTAGGGGTCAAATCGAGCATTCGATAAATATGAGGCAGAGACTGACAGCACAACCTCTTCCAACTACTACTAACCCATCAATGGAATCCACGAGGGCAGTTGAATTCAACCTGTCTTCAGTTCAACTTACCAGCACTCCTCTGCCTGCAGCGTCCCAACCTGTGATTTCTCTTGCAACTTCGAAAACTACTGAAGAGGATTATAAGAAGGCAGCAGCAGCTGCAGTTGCTGCTAAGCTTGCTGCTTCTACTTCCTCTGCGCAGATGCTTACCTCTGTTCTGTCATCCCTTGTCGCAGAAGAGGCAGCCTCTCTGAGTGGTGGCTTGAAATCAACTGGATTCACTGCTGGTTTACCAATGTTTTCCCCAGAAAAAAGGCCCAAACTTGACAAACAGATGCCTGTTTCCGATGTTAATAGTTCTGAGCTGGGTAATTCACCCTATTATAGTTCTGCACAACAGCAACCAATGACAAATATGCCACTTGCACCACCTACAAGTATGCAACCCATTCCCCAAGCCAACCAGATACAAGCACCATTTCCACCACCACCCCCTCCACCACCTATACCTACTGCAAATTCCCCAGTAAATCAATTTGTCCAATCTGCTGGTTTGATGATCGGGGTTATGCCCTATGGATATGGTGCTAACAACCTCCCGCCTCCACCTCCACTGTCTTCCCATATGGCAATGGGATTAGCGAGGCCAGTACCTCAGCCACCTCCGCAGCCACTGTCTCAGCAGCAGCAGCAGCAACCACCTGCCAACAGTGGTTATTACCGTCCTCCAGGTATAGGATTCTATGGGCAAAGCCATCAGCCTACACCACCACCTGTACCTCGGCAGTAGCTTGGAAGTATTGGGCTCTGTATTATTTTGTATATTAATAGGCTTGTTGTCTAGACATAGAAATTCTTTTTGGCTATTTATGATCTTTTATCTTTACCTAGAGTTCTTTTGATAGACACGCTTCTTCTGCACCTCATTTCCCTTTTTCTTGTGGCGCTTTGCTGCCATAAGGTAGCACTCAACAGGTTAATCTTAACATACATGTACAAGTAACTTTTGGCATCGTTACCTGCACAAATACCAGTGAGTGTCAACTGAGTAAAATACCCCCAATGAAGTTACCTGATGTGTGCCCGTGCAGGAAAATGTACAGTTTCTTTGATAAAATGCTTCTAATGTGAACTTTGAAACTTGCGGCATTTGGTATTTTACCTGTCATTTTAGATGCATCTTTGTGGACATTTTTTTGTTGTCATGGAGATGATTGTCATTGGACTTATGGAGCAATGGTTTCTTCGCACGCATGTCAGTTAAGTAATTAAAACAGGAAGGAAAATAAAGCATTATAAGGGAATTTAAACTTATTTGTTTGACTGCTTGAAACCTTTGAAAAAAAATTTAAGTACATTGGAACCGGAAAAAAGATATATATATATATATATATATAGAGAGAGAGAGAGAGAGAGAGAGAGAGAGAGCGAGAGAGAGAAGTAAATTAGAAGCTTAGTTGTGTGATAAAAGGGAGAAGACTATTGACCAAAGCCATATACATAAACATTTAATTAGATTATTAATGAGATGACAAGAAATTAAATAGAATTTATTAGTGGAGGATTCTCGCAAAATAAGGAAAGCGGTGATTGATGCGAGTAACGAGGGAGAGAATGGAGTAATAGTCGGAGTGGAAGGAATTTCTACTATAGAGGTTACTAGTGGGAGGCCGAATAGGGAAAGTAGATTGATTGGGGATCCAAAGGAGTCCTCAATAAACAAACAAAATCCTTTGGTAAAGGAAACCGAGGTAAATGAGGAAGGAAGGCAAAAGAAAACCAAAAATTTGCATCCCGGGAAAGAAGGCAATACAATAGTAATCAATGGGGGTGTGGATAGTGGCTTGAAAGATCCATGGCGAGGAATTAAAGGCCCGAAGTTGTGTGGATGATATGGGGGGTGGGGGGGTGTTTGGGGAGAGTGGAGCAGTCAGTCTGGATCAGGGGGTGACGAGGTGGCCCATTGGGTTTTAGAAGATTTTATGGATACCCCCATCTCATTCCTAGCCCAGCCTAGAACCATATCTAAGTTGGGGGAAACAAAGGCAGCTGAGGGACACATATGTAATCAGGATCCTATAGTCACGAAGAAATGGAGGAGAAGGGAGAAGGGAGAAGGGTTCTATACCTATGGAGCGCACAAAGTCTCAGGAGGATTACAGTGGCAAACGAAAGCCTGGCGAAGGCAAAGAGGGTCTGGCTTCTATTTCGGAAGGGAGTGTAAAGAAAAAAGTTAGGGTTAATCCTGACCAAAGTAATTCAACTATGGTAGATATGGAAGAGCTAACGGTGGGTGCTGGGATCCAGTCCCACCAATCTCCATGAAAATCCTTAGCTGGAACTGCCGGGGACTAGGGCATCCTTTGACAGTTCAGGATCTGCGCGATTTCGTGAAGAAAGAGCGGCCCGATTTCGTCTTCTTGTCGGAGACGGAGTGTAATTCTAGAAAATTTGATTTTTTGAAAATGAGTTTTGGATTGTGTGGTCTGGCTGTAGAGTCGCAAGGAAATTCTGGGGGTTTAGCGTTGTTTTGGCAAAAAAAGTTGAGTGTAGTGCTACAGAGCTACTCTCGAGGTCATATTGATGTGCTGGTTCATGAGAGGGGGGACCTTGGACCATGGAGGTTGACGGGAGTCTACGGGGAACCAGAGCTATCGAAGCGTGGAGATACTTGGGCATTGCTACAACAACTGAGAAGTATAAGTAATTTGCCCTGGGTATGTGTTGGGGACTTCAATGAAATAGTTTCACAAACCGAAAAGAAGGGGAGAGGAAGAAGGGCGGAATGGCAAATGAGAAATTTTCGGCAGGCTCTCGACAATTGTGCACTGATAGATTTGGGATTTGAAGGTTTTCCTTTTACTTGGTGCAACAATTGGAAGGAACCTAACATTGTGTGGAGAGGCTTGATAGAATCTGTGCAAACATTGCATGGGTGACGAGATTCCCAAATTCAAGAGTTTGTCATAAATTCTCGAAGGAATCAGTTCACTACAAAATTCTTTTAGACAGTAATTTGGGGTTGACGACTCAGGTGTGGCGCCCAAAGAAAAGATTGTTTCGTTTCGAAGCGGCGTGGGTAAAGAGAGAGGGATGTGACGAGGTTATTCAGGAGGCATGGAATTCTGGTGAGCACCTTTTAGGGGTTAATGGGTTCACTAAGAAAATGCAAAAGTGTAGAGTGGAGCTTCTTAAGTGGAAACAAGTGAACGTGGGTCATATTCCAAATAAGATAGAAGCCATGAAAGGTAAACTGGCATGTTTAAAGGAAGGCAGTATAACAGAGAACTCAAGGCAGTAAGCTCGTGTTGTGGCTACGGATTTGAATAATTTACTTGATATGGAGGAGACTTATTGGCGTCAACGGTCGAAAGTCCATTGGATGAGGGAGGGGGATAAGAATACAGCTTTTTTCCATGCTTGGGCATCCCAACGGCGGAGAAGAAACACAATTGTTAAGCTTAAGAATGGTGAAGGGGGCTGGTGTGAAAATTTGGAAGAAATGGAACAAGTGGCTGTCGGGTATTTTAACAACTTGTTTACGTCCAGCAGACCACAATCCCAAGAGTTAGAGGCTGTTTTAAGCAAGGTGGACCGCAAGGTGTCGAAAGAAATGAATTCAAGGCTGCTGCAGACCTTTCGAATTGATGAGGTAACAACTGCTTTATCCTAAATGTTCCCTAATAAATCCCCCGGTCCAGATGGTATGTCTCCTATTTTTTTCCAGAAATACTGGCATATTGTCTGGTCGGATGTCGCAAATTGTCTTGAGTTTTCTCAATGGTGGTCAATTCCCTGTAAAGTTCACCTATACCCATATTGTTCTCATTCCTAAGTGTGTAAATGCGGAGTCTATGCATGAGTTTCGTCCAATCAGCTTGTATAACGTTATTTATAAAATTATTTCAAAAGTCTTAGCTAATCGTCTAAAGTTTATTCTTCCCTCGGTTATATCTGAGTCCCAAAGTGCCTTTCTTCCGGGGAGGTTGATTACCGATAATGTAGTAATTGCCTTTGAGATTAATCATTTCCTGAAGTGTAAGAATTGGGGTAGAACGGGTCACATGTCTCTAAAATTGGATATGAGCAAAGCTTATGATAGGGTGGAATGGGTGTTCTTGGAAAAAATGATGATTAAATTGGGTTTTGACCATAGATGGGTTACTTTGGTGATGTTATGTGTTACGACTGTTTCGTATTCAATCCTGCTGAACAATGATCAAATGTGTTATTTCCATCCTGAAAGGGGTCTTCGTCAAGGAGACCCGCTGTCACCTTATTTGTTTTTGATCTGTGTAGAAGGTTTAACAGCACTCCTACGCAATGCAGAGTTGCATGGCTCAATCACAGGGATCTCGGTGGGTAAAGGCGGACCACGAATCTCACATCTCCTGTTTGCCGATGATAACCTTTTATTCTTTAATGCAACACAAGAGGAAGCTGGAGCTGTCAGGACAATTCTCGGTGTTTATGAAGCTGCTTCTGGCCAAAAGATAAACTTGGAAAAATCAGCAGTGGTTTTTAGTAGTAACTCTATCGAGGCAAAGGCTAACCAAGTTCAGCATATTTTGGGGGTAGAACGGGTCTATCAACATGATAAATACTTGGGCTTTCCTACCGTGGTGGGTAAATCAAAAAGAGAAGTTTTTAGCAATTTAAAGGAAAGGGTGTGGAATAAACTGCAAGGGTGGAGTGAACAATTGTTATCTAGAGCAGGGAAAGAGGTCTTGATTAAGTCGGTAGTGCAAGCCATCCCCACATATGCTATGGGTTGTTTTAAATTTCCGGATAACTTTTGTGAGGAATTAGAGACACTAGCAGCAAGATTTTGGTGGGACAAAGGCAAGGGGAAAGGAAAATACATTGGGTTAGCTGGGGAAAGATGTGTACAATAAAGGATAAGGGTGGGATGGGCTTTAGAGATCTTAAGGCTTTTAATTTGGCAATGTTGGCGAAATAGGCTTGGAGAATAAATAGAGCGGTTAATTCACTTATTTATCAAGTGCTTAAGGCAAGGTAGTTCCCTTCGACATCTTTTATGGAGGCAGAGATTGGGCATAGACCTTCTTATACCTGGAGAAGTATTTTAGGAGCAAGGAAAGTTGTGGAGGCAGGTTCAAGATGGCGAATAGGGGACGGTTCCAAAGTTAATATATGGTCGGATAGATGGATACCCACCCCTATAAGTTTTAAGCCAGTATCTCCTAGAAGGGGTCTTCATACTCCAACTAAGGTTGGGGATCTTATTAACGAGGAAACGCGGAGTTGGAATGATCAACTGGTGGACGAAATTTTCATGCCTCATGAGGCGTTTGTGATCAAAGGCATTTCACTTAGCATATCTCCTATGGAGGATAGACTGATCTGGCACTATAATTCAAATGGGAGGTTTTCGGTTCGGAGCGCATATCATATTATTTTGGATCAAAGGCTATTGCAGGCAGACCCAACAAATTCATCTCCCTCATCTAACGTTGGAAATCTGGACTGGAATTTTATTTGGAATCAAAAAATTCCAAATAAAATTAAAATTTTTGCTTGGCGGATCTGTTCTAACGCATTACCAACTAGTGACAATCTTCAAAGAAAGAGAATTGAGGTGAATGGGAGGTGTGCAGTGTGTCAAGACGAAGCTGAGTCATTATTACATTGGTTAAGGGATTGCACTTGGACCAAGGCAGTATGGGGCTGCAGTTCTTTAAAGGTAGTTAGCCTACTTATGTCCTTTGACCCTGGGCAGTGGATGTGTGAAGCTCATCAGGCCCTTCGATCTGATGAGTTTTCATTGTTCCTTATTCAGTGTTGGTTTGTGTGGAGAAACAGAAATACTAGAATCTTCGAAAATTTGATTCAAGATCCCATTGAAGTGCAGATGAAGGCAGCTGAATTTTGTAGTCAATTTCGGGAGGCAGCAGTTCAGCCTCTAGCCGAGCATATTCCCAACGTTGGGTGGCTTCCTCCAAGAGTTGGTACCTTCAAAGTAAATTTTGATGCCACTGTATATGCAAACCAGAATGTCTTAGGAGTGGGGGTAGCCATACGTGATGATAGGGGGTACTTCGTAGGGGCATTGTCCAAGAGGATTGCTATGAGTTGTGATATTCAACAAGCAGAATTTATTGCAGCGAAAATTGCAATACAATTTGCAAGGCAGCAAGAATTAGTAGAAGTCATTTTGAAAGGAGATTCGATGAGTGATATGAATTCTATAAGGAATGGTGATAGAGATCTTGATCCTCTTGAAGTCATTTTCCAAGATATTAGCAACATAGCAAGGAGTTTCCGATTTTTTGAAATTTCTGAAGTTCGACGCAATGAGAATAATGTAACTCATGAGTTAGTTTGTTTTGTTTTACCATTAAATAGTAGCGTTGTTTGGATGGAACATACACCAGACTTTGTTATGTCTTTCTTTTTTGCTGACATTCTTGAGTAATATAATTTTACCGATGTTTCTCAAAAAAAAAAATAGAAATTATTGAATAAAATAATTTGTTGATTAAATTAGTTTGAAAGTTAACTTAAATTTGATAAAATCATTATTTTTTTATGAAATTTTGCTATAATTTAAATTTTTAGATCAAATTAGATAATCGGGTCACATCCAATTATGAACGGATGTAGATATGAATTAAGATTTTAAAATTTGTCAAGTAAACAGATTGGATTTGAGCAGTTCAAGATTCGATCCGTTGACAACCCTACTTTCAAGTCTACTAGGATAGAAAAAAAGTAAAGATTTCGTATTTTCCCTTCCAATCCAAGAAGAACCTAGAGCTTGAGGAGAAAAGTTGCAAAGCTGCCTTCTTTTACTACTTGGGTTTCTTCAAAGGAGAGTCTTCTAAGTCCTATAATGAGTTGAGTTTGTGTTGGTGCAATTAGGCAGTGGACTGCTAGGCTGTTGGTATATATGGCCTTGTGAGGACTTACCGCCGTGGACTACTAGATTCATCCGATTGTAATTACAAGTTTATTGGGTTTCGCTTTGAATCCCTAATTACTGGAGTAAGCCAATAGTGGGTGTGGAAAGAGTTGAGGTAGGCCGAGTGGGCAAAACCAATATAACGTGCTTTATGGATCGATTGAATACTTAATTTTGGAAGCATGCAAAAACTAGGGTTATTATTTTTGTCCTAAGCAAGAAGGTGTAGACGGAGAGTACGTTTGATATAGCTTGAAGCATGATCTTCTCCCTTCCATTTGATGCAAACACAAAGAATAAACTTTGACACTTTCATTTGACACTTTCGGATCTTCATTGTTGTAGCATTATGACTATGAAATAGATTGAGATTTACATGGATTTCATGAAATTAGTCAATTAC